CAGATGTTCACAAAATATATACAAACTGAATACAAGCTGTCTCGAGGTACAGAGGAGCTAAAGTATGCTACAGGAAGGGGAAATACTTCAAACACTGAGAGACCATCTGAAAACTTTAAATACAGGTCACTTCAAAGAGACTTCCCCTCTCTACTGTGGTATAGTAATGCCTCTCCCCATTAGTAAAAAAATAAGTAAATAAAAAGGCAGTTTTGTAAGCCTCAACATTTCTGAAGTTCAGAGTCACAATGTTTATGGCACAAAAAATACTTCCTTGAACAATGAAAAGGTTAATTCCACCTTTAAGGTTATTTTGCTCTACTGCACACCATTCCGCCTGCCAAACTATGAAAGCTCCCTCTTCTCCCTTGTGCCTGTCTCCTACTGCCTCTGCCTTCCACTGCCAATGGGCAAAAACCAGCCGTTCTCCACTACTGATCACTTGCCTGCTTGAGATTTTCCATTTGACACCTCGATATCTTTTTTTGGTGGGCAGCAACTGACCCACAGCCCACCATGGGTCATCAACTGGTTCCATCAGCCTCTTCATCTGTGCAGGTTACAGCCTGTGCTAGCTGAGGCATGCAGGCAAACGATCAAACAATAGAAAAGAAACGCCCAGGCCACTCTGTGATAACATATAGACACAAAGACACACACACACACACCCACACATATGCACAAAGGACATATCTTCCTGTCACTGCCAGAAACAAATCCGCTACCCTTTGATCAAGAAAAAGCATTCCTCTTAGGATTGTTCACAAAGCTTGATTTCTAGCTCATTCTTTGTACTCTGATTCCTGCACTATAAAAAGGAAAAGAGAAATATCTACACACACACACACACACACACACCTACACACACACACACACACGCGCGCGCGCACCCCTTCCCCCAAAAGGACACAGGACTATGCTTATCCTTTATCCTAATATAGATTCAGACCACACACATACATCATGATTTCATGCTTCCATTTAATTAGAAAAATTCTCAATAATAAGCTGTTTAAACCTCCAAATATCAGCAAAGAGTCCGAAAGACACATAGCCAACTCATTATATGATATATGTTAGTGAGGCTTTTGATCTTTGGGTAATAAATGTTTTTAGCCACAACCTCAAAAGACCATCTACCAAGGCACAAAGGAGTTATGTTCTTCAACACCAATGAAATCATGGATGATTGAAGTACTGCAGTAGTTTTCTATATATTTACTCATTCATTTTTTAAATAGCATTTATTGAGTGCCAAATACATTGAGTGAAATCTCAATTATCCTGGAAAATGGTTGTATTATTTTTAATTTTCATTGTATGTTTTCATTGTGTTGGCAACAATTACCATATTTTACATATAATTTTATGCTGAGTAGTGCATATTTGAATAATGTGACTACTTCATAGAGTTAATTATTTGCACTATTGGGACCTAGCTTTAAATGACCCCACAGGGGCTACATTATGAATAAAGATGTTTCCTGTCCTCAAGGAGATTACAGTCAAAAAGTAACGATGGAGAGTATTATAACTTCAGAGAATATAAACAAAAGAGTATGGAAATTCAGAAGGGAGAAAGTAGTTCCAGCTTAGGGAGAAGAGACCAATAAGGGAAAACTTCCTAGAAGAGGTAGAAATGAAGTTGGGCATCCAAGATGAGATCTGGATAGGCAGTAAAGGAAAGAAGTAGGTATTACAAGAGAAAAGAATAGTGGGAGAAATGACTTTGGGAGGAAACCACAGGGACTGTTTGGGAATAGCAGTGTGCACTGAATAGGGTATGTGAAAAATGTTGGAAAGGAAAGATCTATAACAGCCTTTGAGACTCACAGTGAGCACAGTATTAAAGGTAGTATAAATGAATGGTGGGGTCAGGAAGCTAGCAGCTGGAGCCAATAGGATTGAGAAACTCATCAGCCTCTCTCCTACACTAGGGTTGCCTGTCATTAGGATATATTAACAGGGCTTCTATTGCCTGTGATTAGAAATTATTCACCATAACATGTATTCAGAGTCATACGAGGGTTTGGTATAGAGGACTAGCATGACAGAGAATGGGTGTTCCCAAATATCTTTCTTTTTGTTTCTATTAGTGTATTTCCCTTGTCCTCTGAATGTCCTACTTTGGGAAGTGGGGAGGTGGACCTGTCCTCACCATCAAGTTATTTAAGGTCCAGGCATACATTACTCTACTGACGGGTATTCTGTGATGCATTCATGCCACAGGGTCAACCATGTCTTAATCTATGACTCATATCATAAGAGATTCAATTCAGTAAAGACATATTACGGGTCTGCTATGTGTAAGACAATGCTGAGGGCAACCTGGATACAAAGTCTGTGCCCGCAAGTGGCTAATAATCCAAGAAGGAGACTAAGCAAAGGATCTGTGATTTCATCAACACGAGGATCTCCTTCCTAGTATGGGGATTCCCTCCAATAATGCTGATCCCAATCCATTTATGATTGAGTAGGTAAGTCAAGATCAGTTAAAGGAGTTGATTCCCTTAAAATAAGTTAAGTGCCAAGGTCAGACAACTAAAAAGCATCAGCAGTTGGCTGTGAGCCCAGGGCTTCATGACTCCAAGCTTAGCATTCTAGCCACTATATCAAGATGACTCAGTTCACACAAAATGGATACATGAATTAGCATGATAAGAGGGAGGCAAGGAAGAGATCTGGATAAAATTCCTTAGGAACATTTGTGGAATGAGAGATCATTTTCCCCTTATCTGGCCTCTACAGGACATGCTTGAGAAAGCTTAGAAATCTGACAGCAAAGAGGCGGGGATGAGGGGTCTGCTATCCAGACATCAGATCAATGAGGTTAGGGTGAATCTTTGGAGAAACCAGGGCCACCCTGAAAAATAATGGGGTACTAAACCCAAGCTTCCAAGAACAAAATGATTGACTCCAACGAATACAGTTCAGAGCCTCTTACAGCCTTATTAGTAATAAGAGCAAGGGGAGCAAAGAAGCCCCAAAGACACCCCGAGTTTTGTTGGGGTGGCTGTGGAACCCCAAATTCAGCCCAATCACTTCTATCAGAACAGGGCAGTGACTCCTTTAACTTTACAGAACAGAGTCCTGACAACTCTCACATTTTTCTGAACTACATTTTCAAAGGAGCACCTGATTATCTCTTTTTCCACATGTGGAAGCATGACTGAAGTTGCAATTATGCAGCAAGAGAGACCCTGGACAACACTTGGGATGTGTTTTGTATCACTATCTGTTCTCAGTACGGGAGGGAAGATTGTAAAAACACTCATTCCCAGACTGTTAGGGCTAGAAGGGAACCTGAGAAATTGCGTGGAAAACTGAGGCCCATAGGTTATGTGACACCATCAAGGTCACAAGGCTAGTTGGTCTACCTGGGATTAGATGCCCGGGCTCCTGACTTTCAATTCTACTGTTCTTACCACAGCAGCACGCAGTTTGCTTGTCGGGATTCATTTGCCAGACATCTTGGGTGTGCTAGTTTGCCTGTTCTACTGTGATTTTCAGGTTACTGTAATTTTGTGTTCAAGAATAATATATCACTCATTAAATGGATTTCAAAACCTCAGTATAATCACATATAAACTTTAGCTCATACAGAGCATTCATCTATTTAAACTAGCTGAAAATCTAATTATAATTCACGGCTTTAAAAACACAGTGAGACTACATTTAACAAAACTTCTCTGCAAAAGCACATGCTTTGTACATACAAAATGATGCCAGTCTTTTGACACTGCGGTATGTGAGTGTTACACGTTTAACCAAATCCTAAGCAATTCTGATCATGATTGGACTCCAAGAGAACTGTACACAGGATCAGCCAGAGGAACCTGGGTTCAAATCCTACCCTTGCTACTGGCTACCTGTGTGACCTTATCTAATTACTTAACCACCCTAGGCCTTAATTCTCTCATCTATAAAACAAGAGGGTTGAACTAGATGGCCCTGCCATGCCTCCTAACTCTAAATCTGAGATGCTACTACAAGATGTGGGACACGAGAGGTCATTTTACCCAACCTCTTAATTTTACAAAGGAAGAAACTAAGGCCCAGAAGAGTTGAGTGACTTGCCCAAGGCCACCTGGGTAATAAATGGCAGGGGCAAAATTCAAACCCAGGTCCAACGGCAAACATTTCTACTGCATCATAGCTTAAGCACCTGGATAAATAGCAAGTCATTCCATCTCGCATCTAAGTGCTTGGTCTGCATGATTCCAAACAACCACATACTTGACACATGATGTGATTTCCTCATTTTCAGTTCCCATCTGGACATTCAGGCAGTGTATAAACACAGCCTTCTCTACTCCCCCTCTCCCCCTCCCCAAACCTCTCCTAGTAAACGGAGCATTTAAAGGCACGATGAGTAGGTTGATAACCGTCCCCTTCACTGAGATGGTAACTGATAAAAAACTGCAGCGTGTCTCAGAAACAATCCATAATTTGCAGGGCCTCACGATTCATCTCCCGCTGAGATGAAGAGGCACTTTTAAAGAAAGAGTCTGCCTGCCCATTCTTGCTTCACAATAGACCACCTTCAGCTGCACTATGGTTTGTCATTACTTTTAAAATAGGCTTTAATAATAATGCCAGGCGGAAAATGCATTCTTTACCTTTCTGGTAAGTGGTACTTCAATGGGGACAGGAACAACTTCAGCCAGTAAGCAGCCGTAAAAGGCGACCATGAAAGCGGCAGGGTCGTTATTAGGGAATACCAGTGCTACCTGAAAGAGAGACACAGAGCACAGAACATAATGGGAGACTTGTCATGACTGAAGGTCTGCAGAGCCAGCCCCGCTGCTCAAGATTTATGGCCATAAAAGATTAAGGAGAGACTTCAGGTCTTTCCTTAAATCAAAGCACTGTAGGATCATAAGTCCATGGCTGAAAAAAGCCAGACACATTATAGAGTCCACCACCTTCATTTTACAAATGAAGAAACTGAGGCACAGAGAGGTATGTATCTGAGTCAGGCTTGGAACCCAGGTCTTCATGACTCCAATTCCAGTGCCTGATATTTGACATTTAGGAGTTTTGTAGGCCACGTTTGACGCTTCTGTAATATCCACGCTACCTATTTACCTTAATAACATAATTAAGAATATATGCAATGCCCTTTCAACAGGGATTTTATTAAGGGACTCAATATCATGTGCTATTTTCCATGTATCACTTCCTTAATTGTTATACACACTTACTTTCATAAGTGTATTAAACCCATGATTAACATATAAAGATTATACCTACATTACTTCTTTTTAAAATTTAACCAGTTTAACCAAAATAATACTAACCTCTCCGAACAAGAGGAGTAGTGATTCTACCCTGTCGGTACTGGAGGTTTCTTTTTCCAAGAAAGCATAAGACACCATGTAAGCATCAATTCATCACTCTTCCCAGAACATTTAGCAACATTGCTCCAGAGGGTGAAACTGAGATAAGTGAAGCTAAGTGTTTTGTTTGTTTGTTTTCCAATGTATCATTGATCTAGTTTGGGTCTCATTCTGGCTCTCAATACAGCTTTCCAAATTAAGACTTCACATGAATCAAGAAATCTTTATCCAAAATGCAAATCCCATTGTTTCATAAAAGTTAAAGACAAATAATGCCATAGAAGCAAGGAGACCTCACAAATGAAAGCCCTTGCAGGGTTACCTAATTTTAAAAAATAAAATAAACTCTTAAAAAGAGTTTAATAGGAACAAAAATTCATTATATTTCCTAAGAATATTGAGACAAATATGTGTGATTATTTAATATATATTAACCAACATTATATATATATAAATATATATAATATTATATAATGATAAAATAACTAATATAAACTAGATGCAGAGAGTCTAATGGTACATTTTAGGTTCATGATTTAAACTAAGAAAACTCTGAAATCTTGGCATATTTAGAGCAAAGGAGTGAACATAAGAAGAACAAGCAAATTCCCTATGCTACACATGGCCCATCCAGCAAATACAGGTATTCATGCCCTTTTCCCCATATTTCTGACCTACGCAGCAATTAATGGGGACATAGGCATTATAGAGAAAATTTTGGGGAAGAAATAATTTGCTAACCCTTGAATACATACAAAGAACAATCTAAATTCATGTGTTTTGTTGATAAAATAGAAACTTATTATTTCATGGTTTGATAAAGATTATTTACAAGATTTAAAAAATCTTTCATACTAGGAATACTGGCTTCTTAAAGTTTCTGATATCACATTTTGATGTAAAAAAAAAAAAGACTGATAGTATTCATATGTGCAATTTAAGGCCTCTAAACAGAATCCACAATATGTTACAAGGCTCTCTGTATCAATTTGATAAGAATATGTAGTATGGTTTACTGGAAAGATACATACACACAACACACACTCACACACACACACAAACACATATATGAGTACAAATCTAGAATTTTACACTCACTAGCATTGTCATGGGCAAGTTACCGAATCTGAGTCTCAATTTCTTCATTTGCAAAATAAGGATGATATTGTTTGTATTATAATCTTTTCAGGAGCAATGTATTGATTGAGGGAAGGGATATTAACATCTTGGTCTTCGAAAGGGAATTATAGATGACCTCTAAGGTCCTTAAAAAAGTGTCATTTACATAAATGAGTTATTATTGTTTTTACACCATTCAAAAAGGTCAGAAACTTCAATAGTGGAATTGCATTTTTTATTTTTTTTTAATTTAAAAGCTCCAACAGAACAGTACTTAAACATGGCCTCCAAGTGGCTTGACAGAATGTTCTCATTACAGAAAGCCTTCGTATTAGGTATTCATACAACATAAAGCATAATCTTCTGCCACTATAAACATAGATGGCTATGCTATAACTCTGGCAGCCTTATTTAAAATCAAAACTGCAATTTGTCTTAGTAAAAGAAATTCTACATCTCATTCTTTTTAAGATTCCAATTTAAGTCTAAATCTCCAACAAATCCTGTATTAGAACCCATGGTGAGCTCATAACAGTAATCTAAGACATTTGGAGAAATGAGTAGACACCTAATTTTTATGAAGCTGCAACATCAGGAACCTCCAACATCTCATGCTTCCTTTTAATAAATTCCATATTTCCCTGTTATTTCATTAAATACACATTTACCCTCTGACTAAGAACTTCCACTGGGTGAGTATACTCAATAGCAACAAAAGACACATTGCAATATAAAGGAGACCAGACACCTGGTTCTCAAGACAGCACAGATTTTGGGGGTTTGAGGTTTTTTTTGTTTTTGGTTTTGGTTTTTTTTTTTGGTTTGTTAATTGGTACCAGGTAGCCAGGAATTCCAGAAAAAGTATCTAGCTAGGGATTCTGCATACAACTACAGATAAACTATGAAGTCCATGAGTTCCCTCATGAATTACCATACTTAGGTTAAGTAAATGAAGATGCTTTGTGAAGATTGATATCAAAGATAAACTGGGATAAAATGGAAGATAAAGTGAATAGAGATGCTTAAGCAATTAAGTTATAGTTCAGAACAAGAGCTCCGGATTTGAGGGATATCTCTTTGGCCCAAATCTCCAACACCTCTTTATTTACCTCAGATACCTTGTAGCAAATTGGGGAGATTAAAGGAATGAAGGTAGATCTGGCCCCCAATAATTCCAGTTCATCAAGAGTTCCTGATGTAGCTTCAGGAAAGAATGAGCAAAGCAGCTAAACATATCTACAGATGAGAAACAGCTAGTATTCTAGTCAGTATGAATGTCCACAGGCACTAAAATACTTCCCAGCTGGCCATACTAATTTGGGAGAAAAAGCAAATGGCTTTTAAACCTGCTGTGTCAGTTATCTGGCTGTGGCTTTGGGCTACAAGCATCAGAATCAGAGACTTTTGGAGTTGGCAGAGACCTTAGTGGTCATTTGTAATGTCCCTTTTAGAGCCCAAAGTGTTAGCATCCCAGTTTTTTAACAAAAGAAAAGAAAAAAAAGTCATTCACACAAATGCGGTTTATAAACATGCCAACTCCTGAATGCTCATTACGCTGAGGAAAAAAATATCTTCTCTTTTGGAAAAAGTGACAAGATTTTTCACGAAGAGGGAGAATCCAGTTTGTTAGAGGAGCAGGCTTCTACCAAATGAGTACTCTAATTGGGAGTACTTATTTAAGAAGTAGTCACACATAAGTGCCAGATGCTAGCCATGTAAATAGTTTTTCTATTGGTGGGAAAAAAAAAACCCTACGTAAACACTTAAAAAAAAACCAACCCATATTTTTCTCCACATTTTATTGTCACTTAATTTTGTGCTTTCCAAACCCCTACACACATCTCAGTTCAATACATGCCAGCTTAATCTGCAATTACTATTCTCCAGGAACTCCCAGAATCTGGATGCCAAATTGCAAACAAACAGATTTGGAAACCACCATACTATGACCATGTTCTCATTGTATTTCAATATCTATATTCCTAACTTCAGTCAATCTGATGAAATATAAAAATATCCGATAAATGTGCATACTTTACATTGACATTGCAGAGCCAGATTTCAAATTTAATTGTTCCCAAATTAGAGGGATCCTTAGTTCATTTTAGAATACTACAGGGAGAAATGATTTCAAGAGATCATCTGGTCCAATCTATTTTTTTTCCTACAGTGCAAATAAATCATTGCTTTGACTCCTATTGGCTTATGGGGCTATGGAGTGAGAGATAAAGTCAATTATTCTTTGTTGCCTATTTTTACTTCAAAAAGGGATGAGGGTAAGGTTATTTGGGTCCTCAAGTTGTAACCTGTGGTCAAGTGGCCTCTGAGGGATCTTCTCACTCTTCATATATGATCTCATGACCCTGCAACTATTATAGTCTTCTCATGATACGAATGTTAAGTTAACAGCTTCTGTAGAATGGTATGGTAGATACAACGACCTGGAATCAGGTGCCAGTACCGTCATTAATTAATTCTCTCTTACTATATATTTGTAGGCAAATAAATTCACCTCTCTCATTTTTTTCACCTTGAACAATAGAGTTAAAAATATTGTTTCATTTACCCAGCAAGGTAGTTAGGAGGATCAAATAACCTAACACATGTGAAAGCACTTTGTAAAATATAAATTGCTTTATGATTCTAAGGCATACCAAAGAGAACTTTAGTAACGAGGAAGGAAAAGCAACAGTTTGTGGCCAAAGATCTTTGCCTCTGTAGTTAGCGTGGACAGACAAAGCCAGGTTTAGATAAGAAATGTATTTGTTCCACTTTCCTAGGTAGGCCACAAAAGTACATAGTGTACCTAGGAAGGGCTGAACTCTGGGATTTAAATAATTGTTGGGTATTAATAAGACCTACATGTAACACAGATAATTCACAAATTTACAAATCCTATAACTTAATGCTTACCCTGTCTCCAGGCCGCACCATGGGTTCTTGTTTTGTACCTAATTTATGTAGAATGTTGTAAGCAACCTTCATACTCCTTGTCCACAGTTTGCCTGTCAACACAAATTACAAAGCAAAAAGTTACTGGACTATTCCATAGTTCGTCAAGAATTTATACTTTCCAGTTAAATGTATAAATATAAAGTGTGTATACAAAGTCCAAATTCATGGATTTTAAAGAACCACTCTTTTTTCAAACTACCCAGAAGCAAACTGCTAAAGGGTGAACAGAGATCAGGGTGAAGAACTGAGAAAAGGCAATTCATTGAAGGCCATGGATAATCTCTCGCAAAGTAGTTAATTAATGAGAGTTTCTATTTCTCCCCTCAATTGTTCTAATATATTTTAACATAAGGAGAATGAGTGGAAAGAATATAAGCTATTTTGAAATGAATTTTTGTTAGTAATTTCCTTAAAAAATCAGAAGCAAACTCACCATTAGAAATGAGTATATTCAGGGGAATAAGAAAACTATATAAAACTCAAAGCCATTCTTCAAGGGACCAGTGGGCAAAAGGTATCAACAAACAGTTCTCAAAAGAAGAATCACAGACTATTAATCAATACATGAAAGATTGCTCCAAATCGCTGACTAGAGAAATTAAAATCAAAACAACCGTGGTTTTACCTCAAACCCAACAAAATGCCAAAAAGAAGAGATGGGAATAATCTATGTCGGTGGCATTTTAGAGAGAGAGGCACACTAAGATACTGCTGGTGAAGTTGTAAAATTGGCCAAGCATTCTAGAAAGCCATGCGAAATTATACCCCAAAAGTTACTAAAGTGTTCATATCCATAATCTTTGATTTACAGATCTTAGTGCTGGGCTTATACCTCAAGGAGATCAAAGTAAGAAAGAAAGGTCCAACAGACCTTTAGAAAATACTTAGAAAAACACTTTTGTAGTAGCAAAGAACTGGAAACCAAGCAGATGCCCTTCAATTAGAAACTGGCTAAACAAATTGTAGTACATGAATACCATATAACATATTACTGTGTCATAAGTAACCATGGATATGAAGAATAATATAGGGAGTCATGGAAAGATTTATATGAAATTATACAAAGTGCAGTAAACAGAACCCAGAAAAAATATATACAATGACAAAGCAATGCATGCGGAAACAACTAAAATCAAAACTGAATGCTGTAGAGTCATAATGGCCAAGCTTGGCACTAAAGACAAAAATGAAAAAGTGGAAGACCTAGACGCATTGGTCCAATTACTTATGTGGCATTATGGCAGTAACAGTGATTGGGAACCTACTTGATTTTACAGTACAAAGTCCAATTTTACACTGACACATAGACACAGAGTTAAATCTGCAGACAAAATGATTAATTCATACTAACTACATAAATATGTAGGCCATTTAAAGTTAATGCAGCTCCTGTTAATTACTGCAGAGCTTTGCAATAACTTTGGAACTGATCCTACACATAGTATATACCTAATAGATATTTGTTGATCAATTGATTGATTTGTACAACTGCCTGAAAATAGATAAAAAGCCCCTTTACAATTTATTTGCAGTAATGATGTAAGCTTCTTAAGGCCTCTGACATAAAATTAATTCTAAGATTTAGTAGTTGATGATGCCAATAATGATAACATACTGCAACAAAACTAAATGTAATTTAATCTGTTTCCTTATTTGATGATACAAACACAGCTTTTTGTCACTCTTTCTGTGTTTACATCTGACTTACAAAAAAAAAGGGATTGGATATTCCTTCTTGTCCTCTGAAACTACCCCTGAGGAGCATGGTTAGACCTTAAGGAAGTTATCATAAAGAAACAGTTCCTTTTCAAAGCAAGTAGCATCTTCTCAGGTCCAAAATAAAGAGAAATAGCACTAAGTTTACAAGCAGAAATCCCCTCTCCCCACCCCAACTTCCAGCAATTGACTGTCTATTGATGAATTGAACAAAGCTAATTCTAATTCTAACAGTCTATGAGGAAACTATGTGGGTATATTAATATTCATCTCTATTCTCCAAAATAAAAGTCATTATCCCATTAGAAGTAATTCAGAGTGTGATTATAGTCTAAAATCTCACTTGAACAAGAAACAAAACAAAAGAAAAAACTTTGGCTGCTGCTAAGTGCTTTTGGATCTGGTTTAATGCACAGAACTAGCATATTTATTACAATCAAAATCAGACTGTTGAAAAGTGCTACTCATCAGGCTTCGATGAAATTTCGACTTAATAAAAGCTTCAGAATCTTAGGGTCTACATTATCATAATCACATACAAAAGCTATCTTACAAAAAAAGAGTGGAGGAAAAAGTAATAATTTTGGCACAATTCCAGTTTCAAGAGGGACAAGGAATGAGGACTGAGTTAAGCTGATGATTCAAACAGGCAAGGATGTAGTTAGTATTCCTTGGACAATTAAGGGAATATTTTTCTTCAATATGATGGTAATTGTGTTAATTTAGCTTTCCCGTGCCTGCTTCTCTATAAAGAAGAAGCTTAGTAAGTCACAGATGTAAAGCTGGAAGGGACCTTAAAGGTCATCGAATCAAACCTCCTCATTTTACATATACTTGTTAGCCTCAATTTGATTTGTCATCTCCTGGGGAAAAAAAAAGGAAAAATCCCAGGAGCATCATAACAAAAATCTCTAACTTCATCATCAAAATAAAAGTACTGAAAATATCTAAAAGGAACTTACATACCAAGAGGACCACAGTTAGGATCTCCCAAGATGTGTCAGCATCTACTATAAATGACAGATCTTTGAATATAATATTCTGCAACTCAAAGAAGACAGCTGTACAAAGAAGACTAATTTCTCTTGTAAAGCTGAGTATAATTCTAGAGGGGAAAAAAGGATCTTTACTGGGATAGAGGCCTTTCAAGCATTTCTTATGAAAAGGCCAGGACTGAGTAGGAGCTTCGAAATAAAAAAAAGGGGGGGGGGCAAAAGAAACCTAGAAAAGTACATTTATTTTAGTTAATTGGAAGAGGTAGTATAAAGATACATGACTCACATTCTACCAAGGAGAGAAGAAACAAATGTCCCTTCAGAACCTTGGTGTCTTGAAGGAATTAAATAAGAAAATAAGAAAAACAGAGATCTTGAAGGATAGTTTGGTTCTGTTCCAAGGCATTGAGCTGGGGGAAGAAAATAGAGGGCAAAAAGAATATATTGTGCAGAAAAGAGAAAGATGAGGGTAGAATTTACTATTTCTCTTCATTGGAGTACATGAAAGGAAGAGTATACAAACATGGAGGAAGGGTTGGTAGGGTTGGGTATCAAATGAGTCTCAGTCATGTGAAACAAAGGACAGCTGAATACACACACACACACACACACAAGTTTAGGGTAGAAATACAAAGAACTTAACAGGAAAACAAGCTTGATTGGGGCAGGGGGAAAAGGGGAAGGAAGAGTTAAGAGAGAAGCCAATATCCAGGAGGGAATAGTCAGAAGTAAAACAAACTTCTAATCCTGAAAGTGAAATTTAAAAAAAGAATAAAAAGGGAAAGCAAAAAGCAACAATTTAAGGGGCAAGGGCTCATCAGTTGGGGAATGGATGAACAAACTTTGGCATATAAATTCAATATGCTACATAATGTGATCCATATACAGATAATTTGCCAATTACAAGTGATTCACAGCTCTTTATTAAGCAGGTTCTCATGGACCTCTCCTTGGTAAAACATTGTCATTAATTTCTAATATCCTACACACTTGAAGTTAATAAACTTTCATTCTTTGTTTTAAGATTCTATAAATTGGATTATTCTTTCTCCTGGAATAGGCTTAAATAATTATCCTCCAGTTAAGACTATAGGAAATATAGTAAAAACAGGAAGAACAGTAGACTAAAAGCAAGAATTAATTAATAAATCAACCAATATATATTTGTTAAGCATTCACTGTGTCAGGCACTGTCCTAGGTGCTGGGATAGGGGAAAAAAATAAAACAAGGAAACAATCACTCCTTATCACAAGCTTTGATTTTAATGAGAAGACCTGGTTCTAATTGCCACCTAGTATCTCTTTTGCAAAATAGGGTAATAACAAATGACCTGTCTACCTCACAGGGTTGTTACAAAAATGAGGCCACAAGTGGGTGATATTAAACGCCCACCCAAACTCTGTCAGGGCCTCGTACCTCTCACTTAGGTGAGCCAACCCCCACTCTCTGCTTTCTGGTTTGCTCAATCACTCCAATCTGCTCTCATTCTAGTAGGTCTAGAGAGACTTAAACCACAAGCTTACATTCAAACCTTCTCACTGTCCTAGGGGTAAACCTGTTGGGAGAAATAGATTTCCCCCACTCACCACTCTAGTTCTTGAGTGCCTATTCAATGCATTTCCTATCTATACAGCTACTTACAATAACGATATTTTTAGATCTCAAACATAACAATTTACTTTAAAAGAAAGCAAAGGAAATAATATTTGCAGGTACTAAACCACATCGCAGTACATATATAAATTTGAATCATACTCTCCCACCAATGCATTCAATATCCATTAGAATGTGAGTTCCCTTAACAGCAAGGCCTGTTTTTGCCTTTCTTTGCACCCTAAGTGCTAAAATAAAATTCTGATTGACCGTGGTGAGCAATGAGCATACATTTATGGGAACCTGACACAGAAACAGATTAAGAAGGAAAACCCATTTGTTTAGGACTATTCACAATTCTAGAGGACAGGCTTCAATGTTAACGGTCTATTTCAGAACAAATATCTGTGTGCCACCCAAAACTGCTGCTACTTGGGCAAGCTCATCAAACTGGCTGTTTCTGGGATATACAGTCCAGCCTAGTCAGTCATTCACTCACAGGCATGCTGAATTGTCTAACCAAACCATAATGGGGCTCACAGAAACACAGCTCAAGAAGTCTCTCAGCCAGTTCACCAGGACACCAAAGAAGCAGCAGTCAGCTCTGTCTTTCCTTCTCAAACCACAGATGGCAGGAGAAGCTCTTATGACTTCTAACCCGAGTTGGGCAATAGCTATCACTGAAGTCACGAACAATGAAGCCTATCATCTCAATGTGCTCACACTGCTTTGAAGGTTTCAACAT